GGGCCCCCTGTGAGATATCTTCCTCCCTCCCCTCCCCCTAAATATATTTTGGTACATGGCCAGGCCACTAAGCTGCCAACTCACTGCAGAGAAAACAAACTCGCTCGTCAGAAGTACAGTGAGTTATTTATCGAAAATGGCGTTTATTTCGGACATATTAATAGCAGGGTAAGAGAATATCAATGAATGACAGTTTGTTTTGCAATATATTGATTTAATTTTGAACATTTTTCATAGTTTGTGTATGAATATAGAGAATTTTGGTATAATGACGACGACGTCCAATTTTCATTTTATTAACTTATTACACGTTTTTTGCTTGGCAGTAAAATGTCGTGTAGTACATGCATTGTTCCTAATAAATATCATCCTCACAATAATTTCGTTTACAGAACATTGCTGATAAATGCATGCGCAGTTCTCAACTTTAAACTGTAAGTACAATTCAATTGATTTTACATTATACAGGATTAACTAAGACATAAGCTTATGTAGTCTTAGATTGAAAAAAGCTTACATGTTTTGAATAAGCGTAAAGTTTTTTTCTGTACTAAACTCTGATTGCCTTAATTTTGTAACTAGAAATAAAATTCAATGAAGTATAAATTGATATTATAGTTACACTAGTTGTATTATGCAAGTAAATTTATTCTTTGAATAACTTATATCATTTTTTCAAATGCACAGAAAGAAGAAGTYTGCAACTGAGTCATTTGGAGAAGAAAGTGATGAGCCAACTCTTGGTATGTTGGTATTTACTGTATGCATTCAAAATTACAGTAAATCTCAATAAAATTGGCTCCATTTAGCTTCCATTTCTATGCAATATGAATCCAATAAGTGAAATGTTGTTTATCAAATCAGTGGAACCATAGTCACTTTCAGTCGTGCAATCTTCTTTGACAACCACCGTTTGCCATTCTCCATGACAGTATTTTTTGAAATAGGTGTATCTGAACATTATTCTAGCCGAAATATCAACCTATGCCACTCGGTAAACGGATTTACTCACTCAATAATGGCCCTTGTATTTTGGTACATGTACCTAACAGCATCAACAATATGTTGTATGTACACACACGTGTGTGAGAAAACACTTCCTGAATAATGGTGATTTTGCTCAATGTACATATCCTTTCAGATTTTCATTTTAATGAAGAATGTTAAAGAAGGAGTATTCTGTACATATCCTTAATAAATATGTGCCATCTTAGTCAATAACTTGTTTTTTTATTTTTATTGTAGGTGAAAAGTTCAAAGATTTCTTGTTAAATTTGAGATACTTTAGAATATTCATTGGGATCTGGAATGTCATTATGATGATTTGTATGGTCATGTGAGTATAGTTCATGTAGTTCATGATATGGTGGGAACTAGTGTGAGCTGTGTCGGTGTTTCTAAAGAAACAGTATTATAAAAAGCTGTAAAAAGATAAATTTAACACAGTAAAAAAAGTATGTGAAATAACTTACTGATGTTTCAGACGTTAATCCTTCGTCGGAGTCTAATCTTAATTACTCCGGATGATCACAGCTATGGTAAATAAGAGGACATACAACACGAAACTATCATGATTTTTTAAAAATTGTTTTACCAATACTGCTTGCATTTTATAAGCAAAAAGAACATCGTGAATTCTGTTGTTTTCAGTATCAATTCAATTAAAAACTATGGGAAGCCCTTGGGACACTCAACAAAAATTTTATTGACTGTAGAGCTTTTGGATATTTTCCTTGTGCCCATTTTGTGGCAGGCTTGGGATATGGGGGCAGGCTTGATATGACAGTAACAAAATGTCTGTTGACCAATGCCTTTACATTTGTAAATGAAAAATAAAAAGTCAAACTCTCTTCAAAAAATGTAAAGATGTGATTACTTGTCAATATGGTACAGAAAAATGGTAAAGGAGATGTTTGTAGCAATGTACAGTAATCATTATTTTTCTTTTATTTTCTGCAGTATCTTTGGATCATGACAAAGAATTCATGGATTCTTGGCATGGGAAAGTGAACCAAGTATCAAAGTAAAATAAGATACAGTATTATGTAATGATAAAAAATCAAGCATAGACCTTTAAGCAGTCAATTCTGGCCTGATTACAAGTGAATGGAGGAGGGAAGGGATGAAGCAAAGTAATCTAGCTTCAAACAGGCTTATTAGATGTTACATACAGTAGGGGTGGGGGGGTGGGGGTGACATATGTGCTAAGATTCAAAATTGGTATTACGAGCAATTACAGGGTWAAGTGTAATACTGAGTTAGGTCACCATATCAGAATAGAAATGGATATTGATATGGCTCAAATGGATAGATATCATGATTAATTGCTACAATATGTCAGCAATTCTGAAAAATTAAACTGAAAGGAATGATGGGCCAACCACAGAAAAATCTAGCTGTTCTGAAAAACAAAACAGCAAACAAACAAAAATTAACAACAATGTATATGTAACAAACAAAAACAAAACTCAAAGCAATCAAAAACAATGTTTTATTTGATATGAAGTGCACAGTTATCATCATGATGATAAACACATATCTAGTAATATGTTATGAAATATTACTTTAAGTGTTCTTCAAGATGAATTAACGCTGAGAAAGTTTTCGTAGGAATCATAAACACAAAATAATATAAAACTATGAAAGCTACAAGTAGCAATAACACAGAAGTTTTATATTGTATTCCAACTGATTAAATTAACTTTTACTTTTACCGTCTTAGCATTGAGGAAGTTTTAAGTCGAGAATTCATTGACAAGCAACAAAAAAACCTAGTGTAGAGATAAACACAATGTTAAACCATGTATATTAATATTTGTATTTTAAAATAAAAGTTTTAACATCCACAAATTACCTCTTTGATAACTATATAATTTATTGTTAAGTTCAAGAGAGAAATTTACATAAATTTCCTAGTGAAAAGTAGGATTCAATTCTATTTTTCATTTAATTTGTTTATTTTTTTCAGTTCCATTTCATCTTTAGTATTTTTCTTTCTGTTATTACCCGTTGTTATTCATTCATTATAYTTTTACTTCCATTTGATCTATTGTTTTGTTATTTAGTATAATAATTGTAATAATTGTGCTTTTCAATAGTGTGTATTTGTGTTGATATTTTATTAAACTGCATTATCATTACATGAAATAAAATTTTCCGGTTGATAATCATTAAAAATTCCATAACGTTTTTCTGAAATCTCATGAAAACGATCAACTTAACTACTCCAATAAGATTCAAATGAGATAATGGGAAATAATTATAACCATTTCCTCTAAAAACATAGAAAATATAATCTATTTAAAAAAAAATATTACGSATGTTTTCAAATATTTATATGTTCAAATATTCTTACTGCACGATCAGGAACCGTCTTACTCATGAAAAACAAAAAAAAAAAAAGTTTTATAGTCTGTGCCAACGTATTTCCTAATAAGATTAACTATAAAACTTACAAAAACAAAGCAAAAAGAGCTGTATTCATCTATCCATGCGTGTCTATATACTACAATTATTTATCATTCGTGTTTTTAAAAACGAGATTGTTTTGAAAAAAAAAGTGACGCAGTGAGAGAAAAACAAGACTATGGGGGGGTGTGTAAACAAAGTTTTTTTCCTTCATTTGTTGATATCAATACACCACATACGAATATATTTTATATATAGCAACGGAACTGTTTTTGATTGTTCGTTACCTGCACGATGTTATTCCAGTGTTTGTTTACGGTATTACAGTATAAGAGTCAAGTACGAAAACACATATATCGCGAACAGATGCAAATGAGCACCGTTCTTTTATGACGAWAAAGTGATTATGCAAATAGTGACAATTGTACGGCATTGTGTTACTTTGACGATTGGCTGAGCTCATAAAGAACGTAAAGYCTTTTGACAGCATTTGAAAGMCTTAATACAAAGAAGAAAACAGCAAACGCGATGCTCMAATCGWCCACTGACTCATGTCAGCCGTGAGWAAGTTTTCTACAGATGTTCGCTGGAATAAACGGAGCAAAACGAMCTTGTGTCGTCTTCAGCTATAAAGGAATTTCTATCGACCTTTAAAGTGTTATGATACTTAAAACCGCTGTCGGCTAGGCAACGATCAATGTGGTCGACTGAGCCGATTGCAAATGGCTTCAATCAAGTTCTATCTCCAGCTGAAACTTCATTAGATGATTTAGACGACATACAGTTTAGTTTCCGTGGCTTTCAGGGTCAAGAGAAAAACAGCAAGCCTCTGGAGACAATTCGCGAGAAGAATGGAGCGCATAAACTTGATGTTTTGGGTCGAATTAAGCAAGATATCGCTCGTGATGATAAACTGGCTCTTCATCAATCTCTAAGTCTACCATCGGGCACGACAAAAAGCGGTGACTCGATGATAAACTCAAATGATGAATCATCGACCACACGTACTGTAGACATTACAAGAACAAGTAAAGATCCTTTGGGATTTTTCATTCGACAAGGCGATGGACTCACTAAAAAAACCGGTATATTCATTTCTCGAGTTACTAAAGGAAGTTTGGTGGACTGCGGCAACCTATTGAAAGTTGGCGATGAAATCTTGAAAATAAATGATGTTGACATTATGGGATATTGTCTGATTGATGTTGTAGAGCTTATTCAAGCCCAGACTCATCTAAACCTTACGTTACGAAAACAAAACCGCGCTCCAGGATGTGCTAGACCAGGAATTTACACACGGCATAGCTCGCCAAATTTATTTAAACCMAATACGAAGGACCAGCAGAAAGGAATACTCTCAAGGGATGATAGCCAACAATTAATGACAAGTAATACTCCAAAAGACAAACAAAAGGAGCAGTTTAGTGACAGGTCAAATGCTAATGACTTTGATTCTTCTGAACTTTCTAAAAATACCTCTACAATAGATGAGCTTATACGACTTTTGAGAGCGCACACTGAGGAGCAAAATCGCCTGCAAAAAGGCGAATCAAAAAATCCCACGCCTGATGGACATTCTGATAATACCCTGAAGAATAAGTCARTTGTTAGTAGTAATCCCGATTTCTTAACAAGACAAGCAAACGCTTATGAACCAAAGAAAGTCAGTACAATAACGCCAACAACAACTGTTGATCTTGTTTTTGACGATACTGATACAGGAACAGTTATTAAGTCACTGCAAAGTACGAAAAAATCGGAACAAAGCCCGACAAAATTCGAACTAACTCCAAAAACATTCGAACAAAATTCGAAAAAAATCGAAGAAAGTGCGAAAAAATCCGAACAAAGCCCGAAAAAATCCGAACAAAGCCCGAGAAAATCCGAACATCCATATCACAGAATRAGCATCACTAAATCTCCTGAAAAATCATCATTTGATCAAAGTCTAATGGCAAAAGAGTCATCCAAGCTAGATGTTGTACATCGTCCTCGGAGCAGATCAAGTTCTTATGGTAGTGGTTCTGAAGGCTCGAGTCCCAAACCCAGGCGTCGATTACCGAGTCTTCCAACTGAAGATGTACACAGAAAAAGAACGGAATCGACTTTGTCGGTACGAACTTGTGCGGAGAACAAGMCACGTCGCAAGCTACCTTCACCCCCGGCCTCACCAGTTATGGACCAAAGACATTTTGGAATGAAGCTTAATGGTACTTCGGATCGACGACAAAAGACAATGAGTTGGGCCGGGCCGGAAATTGGCTCCCTTACAGAAATCAAAGAACTCATTTCAAATTCGAAAAGAAATGATACTAACAATAACAAGTTTACAAAAGAAAAATCACCCGGAAAGCAACAAGMCCATCAAGATCTTGATCACGGGGCTACTCCCAAGACATACATGTACAGGGACCAACCAGAGCAGCATTCTGTGCGCGGTTCAGTAGTCTATAGAAGGAGTGAGTCTCAATATTCTGACTTCTACGAGCAGCAAAGACATTCCATGTTCCTGCAAACCGTGTCATCTGGTAAATCGTCTTTGGGTAGCTCTTTAAGTAGCACTGCAAGTCTGTCATTATCGTTTGAAATGGAGTCTGACTCAGAGTCAACCAAGAATTCGAAGAGTGATTTTAAATACTCATCGTCTGGAAGTGCTACTCTCAAAGTTAAATCAAGAGAGAGTTCACCTCTAATGCGACGACGTGCAAGCTCATCGCTTTTGTTTGGRAAAAGTAGAGACAAGTCACCAGCACTTCCTGGAAAAGTCGAGAGTGATCCYAGTTTCAAATTGTACCCGGATGATTATAAAGACATTGACTTGACGTGCACTCACGCTGTTTCAGGAATGATGAAAGTTAGAATTATTAAAGCTGTAAATCTCAATTCAATTGACAAGAAAAAATYGAAAAAGATTTTCTGTGCTGTTGAAGTAGATTTCGAAAGAAAGGCTTGTACTCTTCAGAAGAAAGTTTCAAGAAATCCCACATGGGATGAAGTTTTTGATGTTGAAATTCAACATGGACGCGAAATGATGTTYTTGTGTTACGGTTCGAAGAAAGAATTTGATAAACCAATCGCGCGTGCGTCGTWCTTCCTAACACCGCTGGTCCGTCAATCGCAGGCTCATGCCTTAGTAATACGTTTAGAACCTGAGGGATTGTTATATATRGAACTGGAGTTCACTGAGATCAAGACTCTCTTAAAGCGCACGCCGTCTAGYAAAAAYTCTGGAGTATTTGGTTTTAATCTCTCAGTCACTTCAAAGCAAGAACAATGTGAYGTTCCKCTTGTTGTCAGGAAGTGTGTTTGYGAAATAGAGAAAAGAGGCCTGGACACTGTCGGCTTRTACAGGATATCTGGCAATGCCAGGAAAAAGGAGAAYCTCAAGACCCAATTCGAAGAAAACAGCCAGGCAGCTGATATCTCAGCAGAAAACTGTCCAGAYATTAACGTAGTGACAGGAATCTTGAAAGACTATTTGAGAGAACTCCCTGAACCTTTGATTACTGAGAAAATGTCTCAGAAACTGCTTCACGGAATCAGGGAAAACATACAAGAGAGAGAACCAATCGAGAAGAAGAGGTTCCTATGGAGACTTCTCTCAGAACTTCCTGAAAGTAACAAGAACACTCTGGTCTTTATACTTACTCATCTTTGTCGAGTGATGAGCAACCCTGACAACAAGATGGACAGCCGTAATTTGTCAGTTTGTTTAGCTCCTGTTTTGCAGTACTCTCCCACAAATCTCACCCAACCTAAGGATTTGCTCGGACTTCGGACATTTCTCAAGGCCGTAGAGGTACTGATAGAAATGTGGAGCGANTTGCTTTCCTTAACAGTTGGCTCAATCTGAAGTCTTTGCATTTTGTTACTCCAAGCTAAAGACACGAAAAGAAGAGAAATTGGAATTCCAACAGCTTCCTGAATATTGATGCTCTTTTTTGTAATGACCTAAAATTAATAGTATTCAATATTCAGCAAAATTTATTGTGACTTCAAAGATATTATACACGAACTTACTAAGTATTTTTAACGAAAGGTGTTGCAGGACATAAAGTRTTGGGATTAAAGATTCAAATGATCAATGCTGTATATATTGGGTAAAAAATGGCGTCGATAAAGATTAATTATGGACTTTTACACTAATGACGTCATGTGTGTTTTGGCGAAGTGCATCATGGTACTGATGAAAGTATCAAAATTATGGCGCATGTCTTCTATAAGCAAGGGCGATATTAATGGTCGTCATCAAAGTGCTTTGGAATTAAGTGCATTAAATTCTTAATCTTTGTAAGCCCGCCCGAAAACGCAAAACAAAACAGCAACAACTACAACAACAACAACAAAACAAATCAAAAACAAAACAAACAAAAAGAAAGAAAACAAAAAAGAAAAAAGTCGGTTTGTACTTTTGTCAGTCCCATGGCGCATCTCGCCTACACAAGAAGAAGTGAAATAGCAGGAAGCTCATTGAGACCAACCATAATTCCTATATACTTACATCATAGGAGAGCAAAACAATCCCAACTATTTCCAGGATGAGAGACGCAACAAGAAGCAAMCCTGGTATTTTACTRGTTCTGAAAAGTGTTTTGATTCTGAAGACTTGACAGATTATGGGGAATAGAAAAACGCAGTTCATAATCACCACRCAGTGGGCYGCTGACAAAGTTGTTTTGAGGACCACAACAACAATAAAGAATGACAATCCAATCACCTCAAGCAGCGCAGCGAATACAGCCTGTAAAAAGATGAATRTCATTGTTATGTAGTATTAGGTAAACAATGAAGAATTATAGCTATGATCTGTACGTTTACTAGAAATTCGTCTCATTTGCATTTGCTCTTCAATTTCATTTGAAAGAAAGAAAGTGAAAAAAGAAGGTGGGGCAAAGCTCACCAAAGCGAATTTAACGAATCTCGGTCAAACTCAGCTAGGCGGCAAAACAGTATATCAAGAACACACTATACAAGTTTCAAAGGATTTTATTGTAGTTATTGTTGGGTTTCACGTCAGATGTGACCACCGTCTAGATTTCCTCCATACATTTTTACCAAATTTTRCGTATACCTTCGATTTCTAATAACTCCACCCACAAACAAATGCTCTACAATCCTTAATTTTTTTTGTCAAACCATGTAGCTTTTTACGCTCTAAAAGGATGATGTCGTCAAATTCAGTTTCAGTTTATTCAAAATTCACTATAATTTTACAATTACATATATACCTGCAAATAGCATATAGCTAGTCTAGGCAGGTAAGTTATATATTACATTAAAAACATTACTTAAATATTAAATATTTTAATACGAGTAAAAAAAAAATTATGATGACGTAACTGAAATCCAAAAATTCGAGGTAGCCGAAAACAAAGATTTAGTTACGTCACATATTCTATGGTAAATTAACACAATATGGTCCTGGGCTACCTGTGAAGCTAGAGTTGTAATTCAATAYTCGCAGACGAAATATCAAGTCTAGGTGTTGAAAAGGTGTCCATGCACGTTTTATAAAGGTCATGCATATGTACGCGTGKATAAACTGGAATTATACGATTTTTCCGAGGTTTCTCAATATAGTTGGAGTAAGAAAAAAGATTCTACGACATAATTTGCTTTCATATGTGATATATAATAWACAGAATATTACATGGTCACTTGGAGATACGAGTTTTATAAAATCCGTATCTCCGCGCGCACTTGCAATATGCTATACCTATATTGCTTAAATTCAGTTCAAGTAAAGTTTTGATATGAATCGGTATGTAGTAAGCTTTGTTTTTTGCAAAACCTCTTATATGTAGAAAGAAAAAAAAATACAATATTTGGAATATTGCTACTTTGCATCTCAATTAATTCGATCATGTGATATTCGACGTTTGATACTTACCCAGAGTTTTGCTGAGTTTGTTGGCCATGGATGAATTTCACTGCCCAAGCTTTCCCAACCAGCTCGTAGTAGTGACATAAACTGAGGAATCATTAGAATCAATACCATCATTATAAACGTTGTTTCTTTGGAGTGATCAACATCAGARTTATTAGTGCAGCCACTGCGAGTGCTGTTGTAGAAAGTACCAATAGATAACAACGACAGCTTGCTGGCAATAACACTMGTTAGGACCATGAACGAGAGGAATATTCCAAACAGCCATTTAAGGACAATTAGCCACTTTGACGGCCGGGGATCACGGACTTTTTCAATGTGAAGTTTCGCTTTTAAGTCTACCGAAAGTCCGATATCTTGKTCATCAGCCATTGATGATTTGAGGAGGCAAGGCGGATTACAAAAACTCAAAATTCAAGGAAACTTATATTGGGCATATTGCGGAACGAAGGGACTTCTTGGAAGCAAACAGGAAGCAATTACATGT